ATACCTTTTTCATAGAATATAATGGTAGAAAAAGTTAACGTTATGATGATAAAACAAAATGTAGAGATCATTTGGGAGAAAAAAATTTTCTAAAATGAGAGAAAGAATAGAAGTCTTTGTGAGAGACAAACAGTAAAAGAAAATCATATTTCAAAAATTAAAAATAATTATATGGTGGAAACATTATGTAAAAAATATGGGAAAAAAGAATCGGATAATTGCAAAAAATAAAAAATTATTACAATTTTTCAAGAAATAAAACTTAAGAGATATAACACGGAGTAGAAATATTTAGAGAGATAATAATAAAAAATCAATAGAATACTTTTAAAAGAAATAAAGTCATAAATCAACAAAATGAAAAAAAATGGATAACAATTTACATTGATTGACTTCGAATATTGAAATTTATTCCAAATGTGCATAAAATAACAAAATACATTGGAAATAAACATATTACAAATTATATTATTAATATTATTTTTTCACATATGCCACTTCGTCATAAGTGTCATATAATTGTTAAGTTCAACGTACGAGGTAAACACTAATCTTAAATATAAAAAAATAATAAATAGGAATTGACTTCTGAAAGAAAAGAAATTCGTTAAGCGTTGTATATTCTGCTGTATTCTTTTTCTTTTTATTTTTTTCCCTTTATTTCTTTTTAAAAAATTCTTTGGTGGCCAAATTTCTTCTCTTTGTCGCCTTCCTCCATCATACTCTTCTTCTCTCTTTCACTTCATTATTCTTCGTTTTGGTCTACAACAGCGCCAACCCTGTTTGCCCCTTCTCTCTCTTCATCAATCATCAGCCATGTCCTTCAGAAGCACTTCTTTCAGAGGGGTAAGTTCGATTTTTTTTTCTTTTATTTCAATTCATCGGTTGATTGATTTGATGTTCTATCTTTGCTTGCTTGGTTCGGAATTTACCCAGTAAAAATTGATGCTGTTGTATGAAATTGAGTTTTATGCCTTAGATACAATCAGATGCTTGTGGGTTTTTAGTGACTAGTTCGATTATTGGTTTCTTATATGATTGGATGATAAATGCTTGATAATGTAGTTGTAGCTTCTGATGGGACTTTTTGGGTTTTTGTGAATGTATGGCGGGAGCTTTTGGGATTCAGGTGTTGAGATTGTTGATCTGGATAAAATTCTGATTGCCTATCTGCGAGATGCTATGCTGAAAGTTTTCGAGATCCCAACTTATATGTTGGAATAATCAGACTTGAACTTTGGTGGAGTTTTCTTAATTTTATGACCCGTTTTCTTCCTTTATGGATTTGTTTTAGCACCATATCTTACATGTGATATGATTTGGGGACACTGCTTCTTGATGTTGATATTGTGTTGTAGTATAGACTTCAGCTAATTAGTTGGAGTTTGTTGAACAAATCAATTTAGATTATTGCTTATTTGTCTGATCGTGGTTTGTTTGTAGTCCCTTTTCCCCACAAATGGGAGGTTCTAGTTGAAAACTGCTAATCAAACAGATTTTAGCTTCTTGTTATTTTCAAAGTTCTTTGTTCGTGGAACTTGATTAGTGAATTGGGACTCTGAAGAACGAGGCACATTAATCTTCTTGTTTTAACTTTTCTTTTTAATGTGATATATTCATCATCAATATTTGTTAATAATGTGGCTTTATTGAAATCGAGAATGGAGGAACTTTTAATTGATTCTTGATCATGTCTTTCTTATCGCTGTGTGTTCACTTTGAATATAAAAAGAAAGTGTTCAAATAATGTGCTGTAGGTTACTGGATGTGGAACTTGGAATCGATAAATACACTTTTTTTTTACCCACATTCAGTTTACTTTGTCTAAACCTTAGTCATGGGGATGATCGATCTGCCATATGATATCCTACACCATGTTGCATACATTGTATATGTGAATCCCTTTCTTTAGTTTGAATATAGAGTTGCATAGGTTTTGTTAGGGGGAAAAGCAAAGTGTTGTTTAAGTAATGACTAAGAGGAATCTTGTTACTGCGTGGAGGATGAGATTTCTGACATTTCTTTTTCTACCTTGATTTCTGGATTTCTTTTGTGAAAGATACCCCTGTTTATGTTTCAGAATTTGATTGGATTTCCTAAAGGAGCTTTTCTGCTATTTGTTTCTTGTGCTTACAGTCAAATGCATCCTCTGGTATGGGTGTTGCTGAACATTGCAAAAGCACATTCATGGAATTGCAAAGGAAAAAGGTTCATCGATATGTAATTTTCAAGATTGATGAATCCAAAAAGGAGGTTGTAGTTGAAAAGACTGGAACCCCTTCTGAGAGCTATGATGATTTTACCGCGGCTCTACCTGAGAATGATTGTCGATATGCAATCTATGACTTTGATTTTGTAACTGCCGAGAACTGTCAAAAGAGCAAAATTTTCTTCATTGCATGGTAAGTTAAGTCTGTTTTTGGCCTCAATGTTTTCCTGTGAGGAATTTTCTTTTTTTTATAAAACCATTTTCTTCTTTTATTGCTGTCTCAACTATTATTGCTTGGGTTTGTGTTTGGTACTCTTTACCTGATGATGTTGAGCTGAAACAGTTGAATCGTGATTTTATTGCTATTGAAATGTATCCATTTAGGTCCTAAAGATCTATGAAATGGTTTTGATTCTGTCTCTTGCGCTCTCTTGTGAGACAAAGATGTTACTTTGTGTAGCTTAAATCATTAAAGGCTGCACGACAAACTACTAAGCTATATTATAAGACATCTGAAAGAAATTACAAGCCGCTAATCCTGCAGTGTTTCTCACTCTCTTCTTCCTTTAGGTCCCCTTCCGTGTCCAGGATCCGTGCGAAAATGCTGTATGCCACATCCAAGGATAGGTTCAGGAGGGAGCTTGATGGCATCCATTATGAGATTCAGGCCACTGATCCTACTGAAATGGAGCTTGATGTCCTCCGTGAACGAGCAAACTAAGCTCGCAAGAAGCCAGTATGCAATGCAGGGCGGAGCTGGTTCATTTTTAACTCAAAAAACTGGATCTTGCTTCACTCATTGATATTCTGTTGCAACCTAAATCATTTTTCTGACATAATATACTGCGCTGTAGTAAATAATTTGAGCCAGGGAAGGCTGATTAGTAGGAGCTCTGGTCCATTGCATCCCAACTTTAAGGGATTTGCAGGTTGGGTTCCACATTTCATGATGCTTCCCAGGCGTAAAAAATAGGTTAATGGTTTCATTGGGCATTGTATGGAGATCATATGTAGTGTTACTGCCTTACTGGTATAAAGTCACAGTCATTTGACCCACAGTAGTTTGTTTATTCAATTCTTTGTTGGTGGTTCCAAAAATCCCTTGAACTATTGAAATTCTATTCTTATCTTCAAGCAGTTCTTCTTTCTTTGTTTTAACTTTTTATCATCTCTTTTGCTTTTGTTACATCAACCTTCTTTCAGATTCTTGAAAAACTTCTACTGAGCGAGTATTGACAGTCTTCTTCAAAGGATGAGTTCTCCTCGTCCCAAAATGAAAGTTCAGTTTATGTATTTTCTTACTTTGCGCCGGAGGGAGGATAATTAGACAAGGTATATGCTCATCACCTCATACCAACTTTTGAGCCTTTGATGAGCTTAAAAGTGGTGAAAAACATACAAAAGTAAAATCACACTAATAAAAGTCAAGACATGATTGCATTTGCCTTTGTTTCCTTAGAAAATCATTTGCCAAATCCTAATTGGTTATTTAGGATTTTCTAATAATCCGGATAGGTTATCATTACCAGTGCTTTGTTGTAAACCTTGAATTTTACACGTTTGGAAAACAAGCGGGGTCAAAGAATTCCAGAAAACTCGATTGAAAAGGACTTTAACCAAGTAGCATATGAGATTTTTACAAGAAAGCAACAAATCATGTCCTAAAAATAGATTGCGCTTATCTAGACCTTTTTGTTCTGTCTATGAATTCAAGCAAAATTTCCCTGATTACTACGATTGTCCATCTAAACTCCCTTTCCAAGGTGTTAGTGTTGTTGTATAATTATTCGTTCATACGATGAATCCAGACGATCTTAAATGAACACCAAAAATAATACTTACAAATTATAATAATTCCCGTTAAATCCATGTGGACTATTTTTTTAATGCAGAGTTTTCCGGTTACGAATTTGAAACCTGAAACACTCTCGTTACCACTTGATATCGAATACTTATAATATTCCATGAATAGTTTCCCTTTTATCATTTAGCATTCAGGTCGTTATCAGGCTCGAACCAAAAAATGGCGCATATTCCCCATAAACAGCTCAGAGAATTATATGCGCCGTAATACGGTCAAAAATGTTTGATGAACATTTTCACCTTTCCATTGCTGTTCTCATTCAAAATCTAACTCGATTATTTCTTACTGCAGAGTATGGTCACAACGAATATTATATTCTCCCCTTTTCTGTATTTGTAAAGTTGGTCCATTGGATAACATTGTTTAATCATGAAACACATCCCAAAATAGTTGTGCACTTATGGCCTGGTTTGTCTTCCTTTCAGCCGACTTGATCACGATTCACACTCAGTGACCCACATCAAAATTCTGATTGATCTTCTCAAACTACGTGAAAAGCTGCTTCTGATACTCCCAAATTGGGACCCTTTTGGTAAAATTCTTGAATTTTCCCAAATCAAAGATTCAATCTTTATGTTCTCCTTATGTCTGAATCTTTAATGATAGTCATGCACACGGATTTTCAGTTTGATGGGTTTTGCATGAAATGAAAATATTTATGTTGAGCTGTTTCCAGCTTATATAGGCCTTATAATTCAGATTTTAATCTCAGGGAAAGTATATGTTTGGCAGTTTAGGAATTGGGAAGTCATCAAGTCAACTCAATTGGTTTCTGATTGCTTACTAAACTCAGTGGTTTCTTAGCTGGGCCCAATTGAGGAAAGTCTTTGGGGTTTAGGAATTTGGTTTGGTCTATTTGGATTGAGGGAGTATTCCAGGTAAAGATATTGTTTAGAAAGCATTATAACTTGAGGGATCTGAAGAATTATGGAAAGTGAGCCCAAGAATAAGACCATTGTTTGGTTCAGAAGGGATTTAAGGATTGAGGATAATCCTGCCTTGGCTGCTGCTGCTAGGGATGGAAGTGTACTACCAGTTTTCATATGGTGTCCTAAAGAAGAAGGGCAGTTTTATCCGGGCAGAGTTTCAAGATGGTGGATGAAGCATTCTTTAATTAACTTGGCCCAGTCCTTGAAATCTCTTGGAGCAGAACTGGTTCTGATCAAAGCTCAGAGTACTCTGTCTGCTCTTTTGGAATGTATTGCTGCTGTTGGGGCTACCAAATTAGTATATAATCATCTTTACGGTATGCCATTATTATGCTTATTGTTTTCCTAAACAGTAGTTTAATAAGTTTTTCATGTTTCATTTCTGTATAGTCACTAATTTTGTACTCCTGAAATTGAATGAATGAATTAGGAATGATATCTCAGTCTGCCTTCACCCTACACTAGTGGAATTCGTGATGCTAGGTGTACCTATTGAACTAGCAATTTTAAAGTTCATAGCACAAGGCCAAGGGAAGATGTCAACGTCTTCCTAACGTCTTCATCTTCCACCCAAGCTTTGAGAGTAACCTATCCAAACATAGTGGACCAAATGATTATTTTTTATTTTTTCGGACTAAATGTTACTCCTAAACATATTTGGGCTGTCCATTGCAAACCATATTGGGGATGGCCTTTATGGTGCTTGAGACAATAGGCTTATTTTTGAAATGTTCAAGTTGTTTAATTGTGAATTTGATGTTGCAAACGTATCCTTCCAATGGTTCTACTAAATTGTCCATCTCCATGATTTGTTAAGAAGATTTATGATTGTTTATGCATTGTCCTGGCTCTGAATAAGACATTGCCAGCAATTTCCTATTCGTTTTAGTATCTTGTTGTTCACTTCGGTTGGAATTAGAGGTTAAAAAATTGTTATGGGACCATAGCAGAATGAAGCATAACCTGCTATCTTTTCTTGCTTAAAATCTTCAAATCAACAAGTTTCTGTCGATGGTAAATATTGGGTAGCAAGTTGCATTCGTAGAAAGAGAGAGTTTCACTGCACATATTCTTCTGTTATGTTATAATATGTACAATCTGATGCCTGTCTAATGGTCTTTCGTTAGCTACTCAAGTTGACTTTTTCATTTTCTCTTAACCATCTTTCTTTAGATCCTGTTTCACTGGTTCGTGATCACAACATTAAGCAGAAGTTAGGAGAGCTTGGTATTTGTGTACAAAGTTTCAATGGGGAGTTGTTACACGAACCATGGGACGTGTATGATAATGATGGTCAGGCTTTTACTACCTTCAATGCATTTTGGGATAAATGCTTGGTCACGCAAGGAGAACCAGCTTCACATCTTCCTCCATGGCGGCTAGTCCCTTGTGCAGGTATGTTGTCAGTCTTCAATATTATGTATGAAACAATCTTCAATATATTTCAATAGCTTTCTCATTATCACTTAATTTTACTCCATTCATTGCACTAAATGGGCTGGTGCGATGAAGCAAATTCTAAAGGAGGCAATGATCCAATGTAAAAAAACTAATATCTGGAAATAGGGAAATGTGAAAAGTGGAAGACACTAGAATAAGGACATAATCTTTAATTTTTATGATAATGGAGTTTTGATGCATTTCCTTACTTTTTCAGGATCTGTGGATAGATGTTCAATCGAGGAATTGGGTCTTGAAGATGAATCGGAAAAGTCTAGTAATGCTTTACTTGGAAGAGGATGGTCACCAGGTTGGAGCAATGCTGATAAGGCTTTAACTGAGTTTGTAGAACTTCATTTGTTACATTATGCCGCTGACAGGGTCAAAGTTTCAGGAAACTCCACTTCCCTCCTGTCTCCCTGTTTACATTTTGGCGAATTAAGTGTCAGGAAGGTTTTCCATTTAGTACGTATGAAACATATACTCTGGGCCAAGGAAGGGAATTCAACTGGGGAAGATAGCGCAAAATTGTACCTTAAGGCTCTAGGGCTTAGAGAATACTCTCGCTACATATGTTTTAACTTCCCATTTACTCATGAAAGGTCATTGCTAGGCAACCTAAAATATTTCCCCTGGAATGCTGATCAGTCACATTTTAAGGCTTGGAGACAGGGTCGAACTGGCTATCCATTAGTTGATGCAGGAATGCGAGAACTTTGGGCAACTGGATGGATACACAATAGGATAAGAGTAATTGTGTCATGTTTCTTTGTTAAGTTCTTACTTCTTCCATGGCAGTGGGGGATGAAGTATTTTTGGGATACTCTCCTGGATGCAGACTTGGAAAGTGATATTCTTGGCTGGCAGTATATCTCTGGAGGCTTGCCTGATGGGCATGAGCTCGAACGCTTAGATAACCCAGAGGTAATGCAATCTCCAACACTCATAACTTGTTTTTTTTTTTGACAAACCACTCATAACTTGGTGATGGTACTTTCAAACTGTGTATAAATTTTCTTTCGTCTCTGTGAGATTGTTTTATAAATTTTCTTTTCTCCCTTTTAAACCTTGATTGGGAGGAACTACAGAGATTTCCAGTCAAAGGAGCCCGAAAATTGATGTTTGTGGTTGTTAATTTTCCCTGATTACTTGAACAGGTTCAGGGATTTAAATATGATCCTGAGGGTGAATATGTGAGGCATTGGCTACCCGAGCTGGCAAGAGTTCCGGCTGAGTGGATCCACCACCCCTGGGATGCACCTTCAGCTGTGCTTAAAGCTTCAGGAGTGGAGTTAGGATTGAACTATCCAAAACCATTAATCGACTTTGATCAAGCCAGGGATCGCCTTACAGAAGCTATATTTCTTATGACAGGAAAGGAAGCAGCTTCAAATGCTGCTCATGTGGATGGAACAGGTGAGGTTGTTTTTGACAACTGTGAAACAAAGGATTATGAGGGCAATGCAGTGGTGGTTTCAAAAAAAGTAAGGTGTCCCCCTAGCTCTTCTCATGATCAAAAGGTTCCATCAATGCACTATTCTAATAGTGGTGCGTTGAACAAAAAGAGATCACTGCACATTATGGATGAAAAACCGATGCCTACCACGGACAAAAAACCGATAAATGATAACTTGCAATTTTGCAATGTTAATGGTGAGACCTCGAAAATGGATGACGATCTATGCTCTACTGCAGAATCCTCTGCGGCAAAGAAACAGGCCTCAAGCAGCAGAGCTTCCTTTGGTGTTCCAGACGCCATTTCTTTACTGTCAAACGACCAACCTTATCAGGAGTATGAATCTCCTCACCTCAGAAAGCAATTAGAAGACAGTAACCCAGAAGTGAATTCACAGCGAAACAGTTAGTAACTTTCCTCTCTTCTTTGTTTTCTTTTGGTAGTTCTTTTCTGAAGTGACCGAATTTGGATCCATTATTTTAACCGAAAACAGTAGACATTTACAGATTGTTCTGAATATATCGCCCCTTTTGAAGTTATTTTTCGTGTCTTGTGTGTGCAGGAGCTGTAGGGGTCTAATTACTTAAAGATAGCTTTGAAACTCTACAACTTCCTTCACATGAAAAGCTTAAACAAAGCTTGCTGAGTCACTGTCACTAAATACAATGCTACTGTGGTATGGCTTTTATGAATCTTCCTGTGCATATACATCTCAAACCTGAAAATTCCAAAAAAATTACCGCATATCTTGGATTGAACTTGAAAGGAAAGGTTTTTAGAATTCGACACCTATCCGAGTGACTGAATGGTTAAAGTGGTGTGGGTATCCTTAATCAGTTTCTCGCGAGGAAAGGTTGTATCGGGTAGGGTGGTACGACTTGTCGACTTTTGACACGAGCTCAGCTCTTATATACTGGGAACTTTTGGTAATAGGGGTACCGAAAACGTTTGAATCTGTTTTTCTTCTTCTTTTTTTCCTTCTCATACTTGTCTTGATGTATTACAACTATAATATATGGGCAGAACAGATGTATATTTTAACTTTTTGAACTGCTTTGTAAGGTATCACATTCTTTGGTTTCTTTCTCTTTTCTTATAGTCTCTTAGGAGTTAGAATTTAGAACAAAAGAGAAGCGGTAACATGATTTCCAGTCTCTGTAAAAAATAATGGTCGTCTATAATCATGTAGAAATTGTAGATAGATGCTGAGAATAACTCATAGAATCCAGTTATATTCAGTATTTATTCCCTCAAAAAATATTGCAGCTGATGATCATACACGTTATTCTGCACAGGATCTCTGGTAACATTTTTTTTGTTTAAGTAGTGTTATACAAACATGATACAGGAAATCCTTACCAAACAATATCACTCAAAAAAACAAGAGGGAATTTTGTATTTTAACAGTGGCTTAGCCCTTAGGCCACTTTTATTTTTTGTCGCACTAGAATTCTATATAGAAGCTTATTCCCGAGGTTAAAATCAGTGTTTAGCTTGAACTAAAATTCTAGCTCACCAAATCTCCTTCAAATTATAAAATTCTCATCTTTATACTTAAATTGGATAGAAATATCATGAAATTATCACTATATTATCCAAAAATATCCTGTTTAACTAACATTGAAACAGAAAGCTATGAACAGTTTATCCTGAAATATCCTCTTCAATTCCGATTCCCATCCAGAATAAAGGAAAGTGTGGAAAAAAAAAAAAAAAACACTAATGAGTGAGGCATTGAAGAAAAACTACAGAGTGTATGATGAATTAGGAAGAGGAAGATTTGGGGTGGTTTACAAGGCTTATTCCAAGATTTCTGGAGAGCCCGTTGCGGTGAAATCTATAAATAAGACACAGATTGGTGATTGTTCTTTGGATAGAAAATGCTTGTACAATGAAGCTAAGGTTATGAACAAGTTGTCAGGTGTTCCGCATATTCTGAGGTTTTTCGAAGTGTATGAGGATGAGAATTTCGTCCACATTGTTCTTGAGCGCTGTAATGGCTCTGATCTCTTTGGAAGGATCCTTTCAAGAAATGTCTTTTCAGAAGAAGAAGCTTTTGCTGTTATGGTATGTGTTTATCAGAAAACCTTTCGTCCAAATTTTTATTCAACATTTAGATTTTGCACTCCCCTAAGCGGTTATGTTCATGATTCTGTAGGTATATTAGTGACAATTAGGTCGAATTTTAGGTCTGCGAATTTTGTGCCTTTCGTCGCATTGGTACCTTTAATTCAACAGTTGATTTTACCAATTGTTATGATTTTATGCAGAGACCATTGATGGAAGCGATCGCGCATTGTCACAGACTAGGAATCGCGCATCGTGACATCAAACCCGAAAATGTTGTCTTCAATGATCAGAATGAGCTGAAGCTGGCTGATTTTGGCTCAGCAGAGTTCTTTCAAGGTGACCAACTGATGTCAGGAGTGGTGGGAACTCCTTATTATATTGCTCCAGAAGTTGTTTCCCATAGAGATTATAATGAGAAAATTGACATATGGAGTGCTGGTGTGATTTTGTACATGATGCTGGCTGGATTCCCACCATTTCATGGCCAATCTGCCAAGGACATTTTCGAGGCCGTTCTCAGGGCTAACTTGAGGTTCCCTACACAGGTTTTTCGTTCAGTATCTCCTACAGCCAAAGATCTGCTAAGGAAAATGCTAACCAAAGATGTTCACAGAAGATTTTCGGCTGAGCAAGTCCTCCGTAAGGATCACCCTCCCTCATCAGATTGTGTATTTCTGTTGAGCAAGCTGTTCACATTGTTAACGAGATTCTTATTTTGTAATGTGTGATCTTCAGGCCATCCATGGATGACCAGTAGAGGAGGTGGTGGTGGCGGGAACTGGCCTGAGGCTGTAGCTGTTTGCGAGGCGAGTAGATCAGCAGCTGTTCTAAGTTGAAGAAATCTTGTTCACTAACCTACAGTAAAAACCAATTGTACAGGCACTCTATGGTGCCATTCCCAATCTACCCATTTAGTATTCACACAATAAGCTAGTCTAAAATATAGCAGGAATCATTGAGAACTTATGCAGAGATGAAGCATTTGTTCATCTTGTGAACTAATTTAGCAAGAATGTAGTCGTTTTTCGGGTTCATGTAATCTCGCTCCTGCAACTATTAAAGTGTGATCTGCGCATTGTTTCTTTTACTGTTTTGATCCGATTCTCTGACGCATCTCACATAATGTGTACATGATACAAAATCTTGCCAAAACGAAGTTAGAACATCCAAAAGGAGACTACTCATTTAGATCATTTGCATCATCTTAGAAGGTAACTGTCAAAGGATGGAACTTTTCCCACATCACACATTAACTCTCGACTGTTAAGCTTGATACGGGGGAGATGATTCGCCATAGCGAAAAGGGAGAAGAAATCATAAAAACAGTAGAAAAAGAAACTTAGAGAACTTTAAGATTTTAAGGTTCACATACTACAAACAAGATCAGGCGATGGCGTGGCTTTCTTCAGACTGGAACTGTTCTATTTTCATTTCCACCTTGCACCCTCATCTCCGTCGCGGATTCAGTTTCTTCATCATTCTCTCTGGCCACCTCCTCCAATGATTTCCCCTTAGCTTCAGGCACCAAGAATGTGAACAACATTCCAAGAAAGTTGACACAGCCTAAAACAATGAGGGAATTCCTCACACCGATTCCAGGAGGATAGTGAGCATCAGTTTTCTTTGGATCTGTGGATTGAGCCGCGTACAGAAACCCGAAGGCTCCAATGATTGCTCCTGCCTTCCCAGAAGCTGCTGATATACCATGGCATGTAGACCTCAACCTTGCAGGGAAAATTTCGGCTGGAACAACGAATGTTGTGGCATTCGGACCAAAGTTTGCGAAGAAGAAGGTCAATGAGTACATAACAACAAAACCAATTCGGTTGTCCTTGTGAGTCCAGTGATTGTAAGGGATAGCCAAGGCAAACATGAACACAGTCATGAAGAAAAATCCCATCAGCTGAATCGCGAATCGGCCTATTTTGTCGATGAAATATACTGTGAACCAGTATCCAGGGACGGTACTGCAGAGAGCAATAAGAGTTTGAGCCCTCGCAATTCTGTAAACCTCCTCAAGTGCATTCATGGTTTTGCCTTCTGGAATCCATCCAATGGCACTGAATATGTCCTTTTGAAACAAATTCTGACTGTAAAATGCGATATCCAACAAGAACCATGTGGTAGTAGTCCCGAGCAGATGAAGCCCGTGGCGATGCAGAAACTGCTTAGAGAACAGGCCAAAATCATTTCCAGGCTCCTGAGCAAGCTTCTCAACTTTCTCCTGTTCTGCTTCAAGTTCAACCTGCAAAACCCTGGACATATCATTCGCAGCCTGTTTCGCGTTTTTCGCAACCAAAGCCGTGTAACGGGCAGTTTCAGGCATCTTCATACGCCAATAATAAGTAAGAGCAGCTGGGATGGCACCAAACATCAGAATCAGGCGCCAGACGTAATCAGCTTCAGGGACAGTTGACGCCAGGGCATTGTCTCTGTAAGCAGGAGCAGGAAATGCCTTCTTAAATGCGGCCGAAACAATGATCGCCACCATCCCACCAGACAGAATCCCAAAACCTTGCATTGCAAACACAGCAGCAATGAAAGCTCCCCTGGTCTTCTTGTTAGCATACTCAGACATGATAGTTGCAGACAGTGGATAATCGCCACCGATCCCGAATCCTAACCAGAACCTGAAGAAACATAGAGTAGCCATAACTGCTTTCGGTTTATCCGAAAAGGACAGGCCTGATGCAATCGAGGCAATTACCATAAGCATCAGAGTCATCCCATAAACTCTTTTTCTTCCCATTTTATCACCAAGCCAACCGAAGAACAACTGCCCGGCAAGTGTTCCACAAAATGCAACACCATTAACAGCAGCAGAAACATTAGGAGGCAAAGATCCTGGCTTTAATGATCCATCCACATGGTAATAAATTCTGCCCAGCAATTTAGTGACTAAAGAGATGCAGAAGAGATCATAGGCATCAGTGAAGAAGCCCATTCCAGCAATCACAATAGCAGTAAAGTGGTACCATTGTGTTTTTGCCACATCAAGAGCATTAAGCACCTGAAGTTGTTCTTTGGCCATGTCTTTCAGCTTTCAATTTCAGTTGTTTCACTCTTGAAACTCTGAAAACTGAAAAACAAGTTCCTCAAACTCTGTTCTTTATATCCTGGAATACAGGTCAAAGGGACAAAAATTAGAACTAATTTTTTCAGCAGAAACAAAATAAAATCTTTCAAGTCACACAGACAAACCAAATTCAGCTTCGGGGTCATACTAGTGGTTAATGTAACCAGCTGGAAAAGATTGAAATTTACATCTCAATCAGAAACAAGAACAGGCATATTTGTTTGCTGTTGGTATCTTGTTTGTTCTATAAAATAGTAATCAAAATTTGGTGTCATATGAGTCCTAATTAAGGGTCAAACCTTTAGCTACAAGACTAAAAACACTATAGTAAAGACCAATTAGTGACATGCATAGGAACAAAATTTACCCGTTTAGTTTCATTTATAGTGTACCAACTACGTTGATCAAATTAGAAAAAAACCGTATAGTTAGTTGTTCAATGAGATATTATTCCCTAGTCTGTCTGTCAGACAAATAACGAAATTTGTTGAACTAAAACAATACAATATGGACTATGGAAATTGTAGTGTGACGGAGGGAAATACAAAACATTGATGATTACGGAATATTTAGATGGTTATAAAAAGATTCTATTTGGACAAAAATCACCATCAAATTATGTTAATGACCATCTGGACCAATAATTTGAACACGAGAGTTTTGGCCTCATTGACATTTGAAGCAAAAAACATCGTAATCTTAATTCGCAATCACAACCTCTTTTCTTGGGCTCAAATTGATAGCTTTGAAAAGTCATGATATCAATTCAGAAAAGGACCAGCTAACGTAAATCTTATGGAAAAGGTACACAGGCTAACATATAGTATAAACCTTTTAGAATGATGATTTGTGTGGTTCTCAAAAAAGTATACAAAATTTTCCAAATATGAAGGGAAAAGAGTCAAGAAAATTGACTAATCAACTAAAGGAACAAATGCATGTGTGAACATTGGACTTAATTTAACATGTAGTACAACGTATATAAGTGTTGAAAATGAAAGCAAAATAGTGACAAAAAGTGTATAAACTGAACACAAATAGGAGAAATTCATAAATTTTCTTTTTTCCCAGTTGCGTTTCCCGTTATTCCAATCTGTAGGGTTTTTTTTTTTTTTTTTTTTTTGGGTATCCCACGAAATAATAAGAATTTCAGAGAATCAAAGGTTTTTATTTCAAGTGATCTTTTTTGAACAAAACTTGACCACCAAAATATAAAGGTCCAAATCTTCACAGCAAACAAGACCCTTTATTGTTATTATTTTTTATCCCAAAATGGATATTAAATAAGGTTTATATATGCCATACTCAAATTAATACTCACTCAATACTTTAGTATACACACACGCACACACACATTTTTTAACTCCAGATTACGAAAATCTTGCCAGATAATTAACATCAAAGATAAGTTGCATGTTGAAAATGTTTTCTCATATCTGCACATCAATCTCACAATTCATGATAATCTGATCTTCTTTCTGTACATGCATGGTGGAAAAACACAAGCTCCAAATCCCAAGAACTGATGAAAACCGAATTCCAGAAAAAAAAAAAAAAAAGAAAAACCCACCATCAAAATGATGAAGCAAAAGATAGAACACAAAAGAAGAAGAAGAAGAAGAAGAAATGAAAGCACTTACCTCAGAACTGTTTTTTCTTTGGCTTTGATAGATGCACCGATCGATGATCACCAAGCTAGCTAAGTTGAATATGTTGCGGTAATTTTTTTATGTGTAATTTTTATAGTAGTACTGAAAAAAGTACGCAAGGAAACAGAGGTATAAAGTGAACTAACAACAAAGAGAGTCAGTTTTTGCATTTATTTTGGGAGTAAATAAGACGTCAAAGATGGCAGGAAAAAAAACGCCAAGACAAATAAGCAAAAAAAAAAAAAAAAAGAGCATTAAATGGGTGAGAAGAAGAAAAATACTGGTTTGGAGTTGGGAAGTAGTGAAGGAATTGTTATTAATATATATAGAGAGGTTTGTAGAGGGTGATGATATATATAATAACTACATATGATGGTCCAATTGACCGTAGGGGCGTGGCTTAACCGTGGTCCTTTTACCGTATAGGAGGCAATATAGGTTGATTGTGTTTCGTATACTCCTTACGTCCTAAAATTATTGTTCAATTTAGATTTTCATTTCTAATTTAAATTGTACTAAAACTAAAAATACAAATTAGACAGTAATTTTGAGACGAAAGGAATATTATTTAACTGCAATAAAATGAGGTATCTTTCAAAGCATATTCTTCCAATTTCGTGTGTTCGGTGTCTGCAATCACGTTTCTGAATTATCTGATTCCAAACACATATAGTAAAAATATCTCGACAGACCAAACTCCCTGAGAAAGTACTTTAACATCTTCCTTCTAAATATAACCGATTCAAATAATATGATTAATTAATTACCAACAATAGTCCGGTCCAATATTGAAATATATCTATACACTAGACGGGTCAGTTTAATTGTAAATATGGTCTATGTCTAACCTTTTTGACTTGTGTAAATTAGAGCAGAGTTCGTATTTAAGAACTGACCTCGAAATTAATATGGATCACACCCTATACATCACATTTGAGATGGAAAAAGAAAAGGAACTTATCTTGAATGGGATAAATCACACTACTAGTCACTTTCAACTTTATTAAGTTTTTTTTTTATATATATAAAAAAAATTGTAGTTGATCATGTTGAGTGAATGTTTAATTTTAATTAATCTTTCATTTCATAATAACATTTGGTTGCATTTAACTGATACAAATGGAAATCAACAAAGAAGGGATATAAACAGATAAAAAATGTGCAAAATTATGGAGGATATATAAAATGAGAAGAAGAAATAGAACCATTATTTTGAGAGATATAACATGTAAGAATTCTCGTTGACGATTATGATTTCCTAACATTGTTTGAAGTATATTCCACTTTTCCGTTTATATTTTTTGAATTTTGTTGGTCACAAAGGTACAAAATATCGGGACTAGAGTTACAATATAACCCACTACGACTTCTAAACTAAACTATTGCGCCATGCAGCCTCATTTACTCCAAACTGTCCCTTTTTATGATAAAATTGTCACATCTAAAATATTCATATATTTATACAAAAAGATGATGGACCTTTTACTGTTTTATCATGATATGTCTATCTTACTTTTTTATAATGTGTTTTAGAAGAAAATACAAGTAGCTCCGATAGACAAAAAAAAATAAGAAAATCATATTTAAGATAATTCGGGTGCTTCTACATAAGACATCGGTAGAAGTCCTGATTAAGAAGGTAGAAATTATCGAATAATAATTTAAATTAAAAAGGGTGGGGCAGATCTAAAAAAACTTAAAAATAAATTATTAAACATAATTTGAAATATTTAAATTTGAATGATGATTTACATAATAATCGAATACGATGACCATATATGATATATATAGCCAATCCTATATAATGGAAAAAATGGAAAAAGACTTATTAATGTTGTTGTTGATGTTTAGTTTAACATCACAGTTAATTTATTGTTCTGAATATTCATTATTTTTATACTATCTTTTTTTTCCTGATTTCCTTGTTGAAAGATCTATTTAACGAGAACCGGGATTTCAGAATTGGAGTCGCCGTGACGTACTCGAAGTATTAAAATGATTATTTTACTTAAATTTTTATGTTTATATATTACTTTCGTAGACAATTTTTTTGAGACGGAGGGAGAATCAATTATCTGGGAACGAAGGAAGCATTATGTATATATTTGGGCTTGATTTTAATCTTTTGTCTTCCCTTTTGGGAAGAAAGAAAGAAAGAAAAAGATTTCGGCAAAATTAACAGCTGCCGACTCAAGTCAACGCTCTACTTTGTTGAAATGTTGTTTTTGTTTCCTGTCGTGTGTCTGCTTAATTGGCTTTCGTTGACTTATATGATGGAGTAAAATGAAACTTTGACCAATTTGAGGCCCCAATAATTGTTATCATTATTCTCCCTTTTTCGTGTATTTTTTTAGTCATCATTACCTAAACGTTTGACATGAGTTTCACCCTTTAATAGTATACACTTTTTGTCTCAAAAAATATTTCAAATTGAGTCTTGCGAGTTATATTAAAAACTCAAAATTTGGTTTAGTACATATTTCAAAATTTAACTTAGATTTATTACTATTATTTTTATTATTTTTCTTTTTTTTTGAAATAGACAGAGCAATAATTAAATCATAAGGGTTGAACTCAGATTTTGATAACTTCTTCTGACATCTCCACTATTTGTGTGTTAGGTTTGAGTCGCATCGAAAAAAAAATTCACTTCATAAATTTATAATTGGATGCGTGTTTGCTTGAACACTAATCTCTATCCTCTCATCACAATAATAATTTTGTTTTCAAATAACACTAGGTGTTAGACTCGTCCAATGGACGGGGAAGACATACACATTTAGACATTTTTATATAAATTTTGTATTTTTATAAAATATGTAATGATTTCAGTTGTAAACATGACTACCTCTGGGTTTACAAGAATTTATTTTTTTAAATGACATTCTAAATTCACTGGTGACAAGGTTTATGCAGATCTCTCTAAAATTTGTTAGGATTTGGTACTATCTCCAATCAATCTCTATGTTAGGATTTGGTTCATGAAAATAAGGGTTCGGTTTTTATTATTTTATTTTTTTAACCATTATTTTAGTTGCTTTTTTTTGTTTTATTATTTTGTTTTGTACATTTTTAAGTCTAAGAAATTAAGAAAATGCCACATAGGATTAAATCTTACGTGGCATATGCTCCATGCTTTTGTTTTGTGCCTTTAGTGTGCTCAAGCCTTTAGTTTTTGGCTTAGTATATTATATAGATTTTGTTCCAATTTTGAAAGGTGCAGAGATAAAACCCCGCTTGGGTTCTTCTCCGAAATTTAAGGCTTTGCTTGTTTTTTTTTTATGGTTTTTTCAGAATTATTAATTA